CAGCGGATATTTTCTTTGAAATGGTATGAATGTGTGGGCGCCAGTTCAAAGATTCATCAGTTTGAACTCCAAGGGATTTATGTTTAATTACTCTTTCTAAGGGTGTATTATTGACTTTGACTGTGAAGTCACTATTTATTTGGGATAACTTAAATTGGCTCCCTATAAGCATGTATTTAGTCTTCTTAACATTTAAAGTTAATTTGTTTGCTGACAGCCATGACTGGATTAAATTCATATCATGAATGATGATGAAATGACATGTTGCAATGATCTGCAATGTTTCGGGATTTATTCAGACATTTTTTTACGCTTTTCGGATCCGGAGGCATTTATATTTATACTAAAATTGTATTCGGATTCCTAACCGTTCAGACAAATCGATAAAACCGGGGACGAGCAGTGACGATGGCAACGGGGGCGGCACGCTTTTTGGTACAATTGGCTTTCTTATCCCTACCCGACTGACATAAACGCAAGACGAACTTTTTGTTTTTTGTTTTTGTCAGTCACGGCTTTCCAAACTTGAGTTCGGTCTCCAAGAATTCGACTTCACAGAAATTCACTTACATTTGCCATTTTAAGCGAGTTGGATTAAACGCGAAAGTGTCCTTTCTAAAAAATAAGTCATTGCATGTTGCGAAACTGAAAGCGCCCTATTTTAACTAGTTATAGCTATCGCTAAGTGCCAACGAGCAAAGATTTTAGCTCCTGTATACGAGCGCGCTAGCGCTTTCTTATTTGTTTAGAAATGTCATGAATTATCGTAATTTACGAGAAATAGTTTGATCTCAATTCGATTGCAGAAGCGGAAATTACCTTGAAAATAGTGAATTGTTGTACTGAATTGGAAATCCCGACCTTCTGATAGCATATTTTTCTAGGTATTTGACAATGTCCGAAGTTGCGCACAGTTCATTTTGCTTAAAATTTAGTGCTCTTAATTATAAGTGAACTTACAATGCTCGAAAAATCATATTAAAAGTCCGCGAAAATTCAGCGCAGTGATTTATATTTGGTCTCTTTTTATCGCTTAGGAAGTCTACTTCCCAGGACTGGTTTAATGTGTGCCGATGAAGCCTCCCGCATTATTTAATTTTGCTTCAAAGACACAATGAATTTTGCGTCGTTATTATTTTTTCTTAGCGGCAGGCAGTAAAAAATCCTAGCGGGCAAATGTAACTGAATCCACCCGACGATTGGTTGAAGACTGGATAAGCACGGGACTCAGAAACACGCATACGGCTCGTAGATTCTCTGTTCTGTATCATGTGTTCGCTCGAAAACATTGCATTCTCTGTTCTGCATTATGTTATTGAAAGTTACCTACACTACCTTATGTTATATCGATTCGAGATTTCATTCTGCCTGGAAACTTTCGCGCACTTTATTAGGCAGCCGCCTCGCAGCCTCGCGTCTGCTCGTTGGCAACAACGTAACACTTTTATGGTTTTTATAGTTTACCGCTAGCTCGTATGATCGAAGGCGGAAAAGTATCCGGATTCGTTGGAGGGATTCAAAATATCCGGAGATTTAAGGCCGGGAAACCGGCGGGTCGTTTTTCTCAATTCAAGCGCACGGGACGTATAAAACCGAACCAAAAGCAGACTTAGGATAAAAACATGAAAAACGCTACGTTTCTAAACTATTTAAATCTTAAGTTATAGCAAAATCCAACAGCAGCCACTTTGGGTGACCAGAGGTTTCACCGAGTCAAATTTGAAGTAGCCAGCAGGGCAATTTTAAGCGTTCTGGGCACTAAACTGAGTACAAATATTACGTATTTCCGATCAGAATGGACGAGTTATGTGCAGTTCATAAATAGTCTAAAATTGAAACAAGTTTGTTTTAATCCGGCAATTTTAATTTAAGTTTTTGCAGAAAATTTCTTTAGTTTAATACTTTATTTTCAGCTTCCAGTGTAGAGAAAAAGTAGCCGACTTCTCTCAGCAAAGTAGCCGACGTGTTTTGCCTCAACTGATATAGCTGAAATCAGTGACCAAATAGGAACAACAGACCCCTTCAATGATTCTAGGGCTAGCGCCTTTCCTTGGCTTTGTATGTTCAAAAGCTTGCTAAAAAGTAATTAGAGCTCATATCGAAACAGTCCCATGCTTTTAGTGTATGTACTACTCACACTTCGCCGGCCTGCTCACTATTGACAGGAGCCGATTACGCTATTGACCCATAAAGTAACTGCAGTTGCAATCGACCATTTCCGAGTTCCAAAAACCGTCAGTTTCAAATCGATTCTAAGTGCAAAACCTTTCTTATGAAAATGAGTCTATTTGCATGAAAACAAAAATCATTTTTATATCTTTCAATGGCTTCGCACTTAGCCTTGCCTTGAAGAGGCTTGGGGCAACTCGGAAATGGTCAGCATTAGTTTCCATCGGCCTAAACTCCCTTTTCCCTTATGAAGTTTACACAACGTAGTATTCCTTATTGCTTTCACACTACACTTAGGTGAAATTCTGCTCATCAAATGTTCATCAAATTGCAAGTCTCTTCAATTTTTAAGGAAAAAAACAATTCCGAAAAGCGTGAGTGGGTATCGAACCCAGAGTGTAGGGTCTGCAGTCCATCACCCTTACCACAAGGCCATTGAGGATTGGCTGGCTAACGGTCATTTAAACTTAAGCAACAACCCTAACCCTAAATAGAAGCTAACCGTTTCTAGTCAGTGCTTGACCCTAATCACTATTTTCAGGGCTTAGCCCTAATCACCCTAATCATTATTGGTTAACCCTAATCACTACATAAACTTTATGAGGTGTCTGAGAGGGTTTAGGCCGATGGGATCTAATGCTAACCCTCGGAAATGGCCTATTGAGATTAAACAAGTAGTAATTTGCCCTGGCTTCCGATCCATGATTTTTTCCAACATTTGACTGGGACCAGTTAATGAAAATCTGTCAACAGGGCTGGAAAGAACGCATAACTTGAAAAATCGGTAAATTTGACCAGTTTGAAAGTGATTTGTTGCAGACGTAACGAAGATATAGCTCAGCAAAGTCGCGGAATACGTTCGAACAAACCTCCCCCTCCCCTCCCCCCACTCCAGCATACAAACGACTGTAAAATTTCGCAACTTGGTAGAGAAATATCTTCGCTCTCTTTGGACGTATCTATCACCTTAAATCTTGTTTAAGTTACTAATTTTAAGGCACTCTTTAGAGAAGTGTCGGACGGATATTTACTTACTGGTCTTTATCACAAGTTGAAAAAACACGGGAGGGTCCGTTTTTTACTGATTTATGTGGTTAGCTGTATTTTCATTCTCTTGTTTGACACAGCAAAGAGCAAGGGTGGGGCAGTGGTGAGAGCACTCGCCTCCCACCAATGTGGCCCGGGTTCAAATCCCGGCGTCGACGCCATATATGGGCTGCGTTTGTTGTTGGTTCCCTCCTTTGCTCTTAGAGGTTTTTCTCCGGGTACTCCGGTTTTCCCCTCTCCTCAAAAACCAACACTTCCAAATTCCAATTCGATTTGGAACGCACGAACACGTTTAAACGAGTTCATATGAACTCTTAAGTGCTTCGTGGGTAAAAAAGCAAGTTACAACTTTTTTTTTCTTTTTTTTCTTACAGCAGCTGCCTTTCAGTATGACAATGGCAGCGACCAGAGCAAATCCCTCATGAACTTTCTCAGACATTTTAATCAGAATCGTCATCACGTGGCTAACCCTGAAGGAAAACAGAAAGCACGTGACTTTATCACGAAAACATTCAAAGACCTCGGCCTAATCACGTGGTCAGAGCCATTCAAACCAGATTTCCCTCAGGTGAGATTTAAACTCAGTTTTTATTGAATACGCATTGATGGTAATGATGACTTTTGTGTATAGGCAAAAAACGTCTTTTTGTAAACACGGCGGCAACACATTCGAGATACATATTCATTCAGCGAATAATCAACTAAATGATGAGGCAATCAGAACCCTGGATTAAATGTTGCATTGTGCAGGTTGATTCACAATAAACCGTTAGTTAGACTTTCTCCAAAACATCTACTTGTTCCACGGTAGTTTATTTTAAGAATGAATTCTTGTTCTTGCAGATATTCTTCAAAAAGGAGTTGAGATCCCTCGGGTGATATATTTTGCGTATTCTTGCTATCCTTTTTAGTCATTAGTGAACTCGTTCTCATTTGCTTAAGTTCCCGCGCACTACCAAAACAGTTTTAAAAGTTGCCAAGCCGATGATTTGCGTTACGTCCAATTATAGTATTAGTGCCTTTAGTGACTGACGTGAGCCATGGAATATCTAATTCATTTTCCAAATTTGGTCAACCCCAGGTGGAAAAGGCTATTCACAAATGGAAAAATATTTTGAATAAGAGAGAGTCGGACTGTAAACTATAAAAACTATACAGTCGACTCTCTCTTAACAGACACCTAGTACAAGACGGACACCGAGAACCGTAAAACGGCGGATACCTAGAGTTGGTCCCTGCAAGTTATCCCTTTTATTTGACTCTCTATAAGACGGACATCAGGGGTCTGAGACGGTCACTTACTTCCGGTCCCAAAGGTGTCCATCTTACAGAGAGCTGCCTGTATTATAAGCAACATAGTCAAGAACCTTTTCTTTTCGTAGTATGCTACTGGAGTCAACATAATTGGAATGCTCTCTGGTACCCTTGCTGGGTCTTCTGATGACAGGCCGTTTCTGATTGGTGCACATTACGATACAATGCGCACTACGGCACATGGTGCTAACGACAATGGCTCAGGCGTGGCTGCCATGTTACAAGTTGCAAAACAAATGGCTACAAGTAAGTTAACAATTTATTGCGAGTTTGCGAGATCCGTATTTCTAATTGAATTATTGCGGGATTAACACTACCCCTGAAAATCCTGGAAATCTTGTGGATATTAAAACTATTTTCTTCTTGCGCTGGAAAGCGCCATTAAAAATTCTCTTTATTCTACCTCCTTGGACATTTCTGAAAGTTAAAAAAATGCCGTCGTAGTGCACCTGGTCAGTGTCTCTTAACCAAAATTAATTTTTTTCTCTGTCAATATACGGCATCTAGAATTTGAGTTCTGGTCCCCAGCATTTAAGCCTAGAACGGCTCCTAAAATTTTATCTTAACATTTCGGTCCTTCTAAGTTGCACGCACCTGGAAACTGAGACCGAAAAATAACATACTAGGTTTATTATGTGGGGTGCGTCCTGCATGCTGCTAAGATCACCAATGTCAGACAAGAATGCACTTTACGGTGATGAATAAAATATTTATAAAAACTAATAAAGATGGTCAACTTTAGTTTAAACTTTGTAGTTAACGAGAAAGGGCCGTCAAGTCACGGATACGTTGTTTTGAAAAAACCGGTAGCCCACAGTCTGTGGCCGTTCTTGTGAGACCTTTTTGGGATTGTTATGTGAAGCTTTCCCTATGAATTGTCACTTGCAATTCCTGTAATTTGAATAATTTTCTCTTTTTAAAACAGATTTCCAAAACCTTGCACGCAGTTTTAGTGTCCTGNTGAGAAAGGGCCGTCAAGTCACGGATACGTTGTTTTGAAAAAACCGGTAGCCCACAGTCTGTGGCCGTTCTTGTGAGACCTTTTTGGGATTGTTATGTGAAGCTTTCCCTATGAATTGTCACTTGCAATTCCTGTAATTTGAATAATTTTCTCTTTTTAAAACAGATTTCCAAAACCTTGCACGCAGTTTTAGTGTCCTGTTTGTGGCGTTTGATTTCGAGGAGTGGGAAAATTGTAACGATACAACGAACTACCCTAAATGCGCTTGCGGCGAGATAGACTGTGGAAGCAAAGCGTTTGTTGCAAACTTCACACGCTTTTACAACGGCTCTTTAAAATCAAACGGAAAGCTTCAGGGAGCGATAATTATGGACACTGTGATGAACTATAACAACACTCCAAACTCGCAGATTTTGCCACCATCAACGGAACGGTTATTGCCAGAGGTTTATGGTAAAATCAAGGCCGATGGATTTCGTGGAGATTTTCTTGCTGTTGCTGGTCGGTCGGTGGATGATGCGGCCTTGATGAATGCGTTCTGGTATCATTACGGCCGAGTGAAATCTGGTAAGAAACAGATCGCGCATGGAATTTTATACGAAGTCGCTGACTAGGTACCTGGCCCGGGTTGCTCGAAGCATGGTTAGTGCTAACCAGCGTTAAATACCATGGAAACCTATACAATTTGATACCTCTTAACCAACGGTTAGCGCTAACCAGGCTTCGAGCAACCGGCCCCTGTATGCTTAGTTTATACACAGATATGTTGATTCGGCTATTTAGCAGCTAAAAACTCCTGGAGCGCATTACTCAAGCACTACCGACTCCGGTACCATCGAGTTCTGACTTGCAGCAAAGATAATAGATTTAAAAAGTATTGTCTCTAAAAGGACGACGTACTAGTGCAAGCCGCGCCTTTGCTATTGAGAAAAATGTCAAGGGTTTTGTCCCCAGCATTCAGTTAATTTCAGTGATTCGAATTTAATTGATTGCACAGAAACGTTTCTGATACTTGACGTCTCAAAATAAAATAAGCGGTACAAACAGTTATTTTCTAGTTATTCATACTTGAGTGAATGAAGCTCTATTTGAAAATCTCGGCTTTCTCAGTTCAGTCTCTTCAGACAATCCACATATTTTACTGATTTCTGAGTCCTTTTTACACTTAGTTTTTAAACATCAGCATGTTAGGTGTGCCTCAAAACTCCGTGAAAAAAAAAAACAAACAAAGCTCTCCCCTTTAAGATGTTTCTATACAGTTGTTCAGAGGCCATACCGATATTTTTCAATCGCCTTAAAAGTGGTTTTTTCCTTGTCTGATCGCTAGTAAATAGACCTTGTCACGGTTTCGACGCCATCTTGACGAGTAGGCAAACGTGGGAGAAATTACAGTATTTGTATGAAAATCTATTGTCGAATAATTTCGGTAAAACGGCCGTTCTGAAAAAAATTTTAATTGTAAACTAAAGCTACAAAGCAAAGGATTGACCTAAAAAAATTTGGGGGTGTACCTGTGCTAAATTTCTCCAGAGGCTTGCTTAAGATTTACCATATATTTGTCTGTAATTTTCCGGGGACTTTCTTACAGACAAATGTATACGAAATTTAAAAAGTGGTTCTAGGTCTTCTGGTGCATGTAACGTCCTCAAATTTTTTCAGTAGAGTCCTTAGGAATGAAGCTTTAGGTTACAAGTCATATTTTTTTCAAAACAGCCATTTTACGGAAATTATTCGAAATTATAGATTCTCATACAAACACTGTAATTTCGCACGCGTTTGCCTACTCGTCAAGATGGCGTCGAAAACCGTGACAAGGTCTATTTTCACCTGTAATTGACTATGGATTGAAAGTTGTGAAAATGTAATTTTAAGTAAAATCGATCTTACCATGACAACAATAAACAAAAAAAATTTGAAATTGATAAAAGCCCAATTCTGTGCGATCTAGACCAGTTACTGAAAATCCAACACTAGGAACTTAAAGTTTGGTGTTTAGCAAACAATCTCCGTGAGAAGTAAAAAATTCTGTATGTTTGAATTCGAATAAAAGAACAATATGTTTCAAACCTTAAGTTTTCAATAGCCGTGATAGATTATTTTAAAAAAACCTCATTAATGACTCAAACTATTCTTAAGTCTAAGTAGCGTCAGAATGCTGCTTAATATCATACTTGATGCTAGGAAATTTTGGTGTATTTTCGTTCTTGCGATCTTGAAAACCAACCCGTTTTCTCATCACCTCTAGGAGTGCACCTTCATTCAAAATTTGGACTTTTAGAGCTTTTTTGTATATCTCTGAAACGACTCGAACTAATTTTTTTTTAAATCTCTTCACATAATCTGTATAATGTGTTTTATAAGGTCTTACACTTTCATTAAGATTGATTCTCTGCAACATCTTAAAATTTCAAGACAAACTTATCCTACAAACATGTCAGAACTCTGCGTTACAACATTCACTGTTTTGACGTTGTGCTAATTTTTCCAAAATAATGCGAACTATACATACCTCCATGACTACTACATTTATAGTTTGAATTTATCGCATCTTTTGAATGTAAAACATTGACAATACTCACGCTGAAATGTACCAATTTTTTACTTCTTACGGGGGTTATTTGCTAAACACCAAACTTTAAGTCCCTAGTGCTGGATTTTCAGTAGCTGGTCTAGATTGCTCAAGTTTCCCCTTTTATCGACTTCGTCTCGGGTTTGCATCGCTGTCTCGAATTCTCCCAACCCCTCGAGTGTTTATCTCAGGCTGTACAAACACAGGAAAAAAGTTTTCTATTGCTTTTATAAAATAGCTTTCCCGAGAAAACGGAAACCTCTTTGTTATGGCACTGATTAAAAGAGAAATTCTTACCAGTCGCAAAGTCGTGTACACGAAGGCTTGCACGCGTAATCAGTTCTTGTTTTGCAAAAAGATGCTTTCCAAAATACGGATTTTTCTCACTTAAAATGTCAGCTTAAGCGAAAACAAAGTTGACACCCCTTGTTTGTAAAGGTGTCCCAAGTTTCAGCCGACGAAGGAATGTGTAAATAAAATAAACTTGTCGAGTTTTGAACTCAAAAACTTTTTCAAATTTGCGCTTGCGTGATTAGCGCGCGAAAAGCAAAACATCTTGACGTCACAACCATGTTTACATGCTCTCATGCAAACACTCCTCTCGGCCAATCAGAGCGCGCGTACTATCTTAGTTATTTTATAAATCGGTATGGCCTCTGAAAAACTGTATCGAAACACCTTAAGAATGATTCTATTTTTTCAGGAGCCCTGTTTTTGTGTGATTTAAGATTAAAGCTGTTTTACTATTTATTTGTCGTTGTTGTTATCAGCTAAGTGATATTTAGGTGGTCATTACTTTTCTTCTTCCTTCGCGCATATAGCACTAGGGGATAAAACTTCAATGTATCCAGTAAATCTCCCATTCCATGACCAGCCAGACAAGCTTCCACCCTTTTGGTATTATGCTTTGGAAGACTTTTTGAGAAGCGACCACGTGTCATTCTGGAACAACGATCCGTCCATGAGCGCCATCTTCCTGAGTGACACTGCTGACCACCGAAGCTACATGGTATCTTGTTACCACCAAGACTGTGACAATATCGATAGGGTGACAAGTGAAATGCTCCAATTCTTACAGAAGACATCTGACTCCATAGTAGCAGTGGCCAATGATGTTACCAAGCTGTCATGTCCACAGAGCGGAACAATAATCCATAGCTATAGCGACAACTCAGGTATTTTATACACAGAGTAGAAAGGGTTCCCAACGGGTTTTTCGGGATACGGGATTTCCCTTATTTTAACCTCGGGATTCGGGATTTTAAGACAAAATCGGGCAAGATTCAGGATTAAAAGTACGTGTGGGAGGTGGGATAGTAAATATAAACCCCGGGACTACGGGATTGCTCGAAATTGTGGGTTGGGATTACATTATTGAAGAACGCTATCGGGGACACTCAGTTACACTGAGGGAAGTTGCTTTTTTCTATTCCTCTTTTCTAAACATTTTCTTTTCCTTAATGAGGAAAAGTTTTCGCCACTGTAGCAGCTGCTCGTAAAATGTCTCCTCATTGGTCACAAAAAACTTACAATAACATTCCAGAGTCTCTCTCCTTTCTCTCATTTTTGCCTCGTCGTGAGAGACCTCTGCTAGCAGGAAAACAATAACACTACATTGTTTATCATTATTTCTATTGTTATATTGTTGGGGTAGCAATAGCCTACGCCACATACGAAACTAAACTCAAGTCCGCTGCGCAATGTACAGCCCCGAAATCTTTGTCCTAAGCCACCACCTGTTTACCAGGATGTGATTACGCGCAGTGATTTGATAGTCAGAATAATTCGTCGAGTCCGTTGTTGGCGCAGAACGTCTTCGCAGTCGTTACTTTCCGGGTTAAATTACATCTGCGACACAGGCTAGGTAGCATATGAATTAAATTGGAGTGGATATTGTTTTTAACTATAAACTGTTCACATATACACACTGGTTGACCTTCACCACCAAGATTCCCGTCCAGAAAGCCACTCTTTTAAAGACGCTTAAATGATATTTTACATACCCTGTTTGCCGGCACCTCCCCCATCTGGTACGGGATACATTGAGCGATCATCTCGATATTATTTTAGATCATCAACCGCATACGGATTTCTGATAATTAATATTCAGTGAAGGCAGCGCAGCATATCTATAAGTTAAGCAGCTTATTGAACAGACTTTAAACAGTCTAAGGCAGCTTACTCACTTGGTACCCGAGTACAACGCGGTGCCTGCACGGCGCTCGTTGGGCAGCAACGTGAACACAACCTTTCAAGTTCCTACGCCGGAAAATCGGACGACGACACGTTGCCCGAGCACAATGTACTTGGCCGGCACTAAAGTGGGCACCGGGTACCTGTGTGCACACAGTTTTTGTTAATTCCCGAGCAATACACTATTTAGTGCTTCCTGCTAAGCTCAAGTTTCAAAATTGCGTCTGTGACAGGGCTAAAGGAAGAAACAATGTAGTTTAATATCGGGCACTCAAGGTGTGAACACTACACCATTTTGTGACAGTCGGCCCAGACACTACTGGTTCCCGGGCACCAACTGTAGACAGCATCTAATCATGAGTGGATATACAAGCTAACAAATAGTTCTTCCGGGTTCTAGTTTCAGGTGATACCGGAATGAAGGCGTGGAAAGTTGCCTTGCTTTCTGTTGGCATCTTCATACTTGGTATGCTAATCTCAGCTGTAGCTGTGGTTTTCTATCACCGATGGAAGAAGCAACACGGCCCTCTGATAACAGGAGATCGTCCGCAGTTAAGCGCTAACTTATAAGTCAGGTGTTTCGTCCCAGTTCGCTCCTTCGCCAGTTCAAAAAGAGGAATACGAACGAAGTTCTTACCAGTAAGAGCAAATGTAAAATGATAACCATGATGGTATAATGGTAATAACCGTAATAACCATAATAGTAATATAAATAATGATGTTATCATCCTCATCGTCATTGTTATTATTATGGTAGTACAAACGTCTGGATGCCCAGCGTTATTATTATTATTATTATTATTATTATTATTATTATTATTATTATTATTATTATTATTATTATTATTATTATTTTTGTTATTATTATTATTATCTTATAATCTTCATTGTTATTATCATTATTTTGTCTTGAGTCCTCTATTGAGGAGCTATGTTTTTGCCTTTTTGTGCCACCAAAAGCATAGAATAACAAACGTAGAACAAGGCTTGCATGTTAGTGGATCCTGAAAAGGGCCTCAGTCTCAGTGGAGTCAAAAGGTTACAAAGCTGGCTCAAGGATCCGTTCTTAAAATATCTCGGACGAATCAGAACTGCTTCTGGCCACAAACAATCCCAAAACCTCACAACAGAAGGTAGTCTTCCTATACAGCCGCCTCTCTTGCGGGCCGGTCCGGCTCGGAGCTGCGGAAAGTGATGAGAAGTGGCTGTATTGACAGGTTAGACTAAACGGGGCGGAAGTAAAGTTCAGCTAGCAAGAGTGTCAGATTTTATAACCTTTCAACCCTCGCCTACGTTGGCTGTTTTTTGAGGAGGGAGGTAGGGAGTAGGTATAGCAAGAGAAAAGGAACTCATCTATAGTCCCCATCTCGCCATGAAAAAGTCAGTTTGCTTGCTGGTCATTAATCCGTTCCGCGAGACGCGCAGTCCTTGAAGTGCGGTCATGTAAAAACCTACAGCAATTTCGAGTTTAAAAAGTAACCGGGCAGGTCGGTAGATTATTAGTTTAAAAGTTGAGACTGATATGGATAACTGCACATTTTGTATTTCATTGCATGGCTGAATAAACTGTTTCGAATTGTTAATGTCTTTGTTTTTGTTCCGTTGCTAATATGTTATAATTCTTGGGTTCAGCCACAATGACTTTGTTTTCATGAAGTAAACACCCTTTTAAAAAGGTAGAAGCAACAGACTGGGGAAAACCTGTCATTATTTCGAGTTACATGTACTGTTCAACAATTAGCGAGATTTGGAACGTTGAGGTACACCAAATAATGCCATATGGAGAGAGTTGTTCCAACCCTTGGAGCAATATTTCCTCTAAATAAGCAAGTTTCCTTATACAGCCCTCTATGGCTGGTGTAGTTATGATTAAATTTCGACCCTCCTCGCCGTATAGTTTCCAATAGTTTAGCCTCTTTCAGGCTCCAAGATAGTCGGGAAGAAACTTCCGCCAGCGCCTCCTTTTCCCTCTTTCCCAGATCACGCGCTTATTTATCCGGCGGCTTGCTTGAGAATTAGGCGAGTTTTGATACAAGCATTAAACTTTGTGAGAATATTGACATTCCCAGGCTGGTCATTTCCTTATATAGTGCCAAGTTAAATTTTCTAATTCCAGCTAGTTAGCAGCAAATGAAATTTTCGTATCCGAGATCCCCTGCGAAGTACTTTTCTTGCTCTCTTTACATGTAATGAACGTCTTATTTCAAAATACATACATAACAATACATTATAAAATGCAGGTCGCAATTTGAAATTTATTTGCACACGCTTTTTTCTTTTTTCTCTTGATTCGGATGGTCGGTTTGCGGTATATTATTCTAAATGTGCATGCGACTCGGTGCAGCGAGAAAAGAAACTATTCTACTCATATAAAAGGATAAACTGTCGGTTTAAAAAGAGGAAGTTAGAAATGGGATACATATGCATGTAACTTCAAGACTCATGAAACTATTGACTGGTTAAAATGTGCTATTTGCTAGAATGGAACAATTGAAGAACCTCAGTACCTCAGTGTCCTGCTAACTGGGAACGGCGCGACTCTGGAGAGTGGGTACCTTACTTTCCAACAAGACTTAACGTTATTTTATTAGGCGAGGGGATTAAATTTAGCACTGGCAGTTGACTGGAAATATTTTGACGTGACAAATAGAATTGCTTCCACATTAACAAGTCGTTACTTTGCTATGTGGCATAAATCTTGTTGCGATGCGTTCAACAGGATGATACAGGATGCCGATCGCATGATGAAAAGAAAAATGCCTGTAGAAATCCACAGCAGCGAACGGACACGCTCAAGTATGTTTCTGTTCCCACGGAGAGGAAGCGGACAAGAAAATGTTAGCTCATGTAGCTGACGCAATAGAAAATGCTCACTTGGAAGTCATGATTCGAACTGTCGCGCTTTTTTTCTCGCTCCGTTTACCCATGGCCACTATCTTGAAGCCTGGAAAAGGCTTATTTAGACCAGAGGGAATTTATGGTGTCTTATGGGACGGTGTTTGCATGGGCCCGGGGAGGGGGGGCGGAGAGTGGAAATAGACTTAATTAAGGGTTTTTTGCCACTCTTTGTTCTTTGGGCCTGTGCGCATGTGGGGCATTGTGGTTTTCTATTGCTGTAATTTTAAATTTTCTACTATAGTTGTAATTTTAATATTCTTTTAACCTTACGGCTCACTGAAAGACTACTGCACAATTTGTGAATGTGATACCGTGATGAAATAAAGAGATGGTGATGATGATCGATGATGGTGATAATGATCATGATGATAATGATGATGAAACTCCACAACATCCTAACGCATTTGCTCTTTGTAAAGGCCCTAGGTCTAGTGTCTCCTTGTCTTCATGCCCTAACTTCCTTCTCCGCTAGTCATGAAATTGCCAGTATACTGAACACAGATTTTTGCCAATTTTTTTCTCATTGAAAGGAAGCATTTCTGTGATTGAAATCATGAGATAAAAATGAGGGTAACTGTTCTCGTTTTTGCGGTAGAGCTGCAGAAAGTGCGCACCGGCTGAGGTCCTTGAGATTTTTGAGGGGGCTTTTCAAAACGGCATGTACTTGGAGGGTGGAAGGAAGCATTGCAAAATACGATTTTATCTTATTTTATGGAATTTACAAGGAAATAAAGCAATTAGGAGAAGGACAAAATGTAATAAAGATGAAGCTTTAATGTCATTTAGGATGGTTCAGCACAACATCTACAATCGAAGGCCTCGGTGACGAAAGCCTGCGAGCAAGCTCTCCTTGGGCGAGCGAAGTAAACCGCGCGAGAAGGCAGCAGAGCTTGCTCGCAGGCTACGTTAAGGAAGATGAACTCAGCAACACTCGTAACGCTTACCTTATACACATTTTCAACACTTTTAGACTTATCTCGGCCAGAAAAAAATGCTATGGAAATGCCATTAACGTTTCTGTTCGATCAACGTCACTTTGATTGCTTCTGCGGAAGCTCTTTTTACCGGCGGCCATCTTGTTAAGCGCAGTGAGAGGTGAGCATT